AAGAAAAGCACAGGCTGGCAGGGGCGTGCTCTAACAACCTCTACACATGTCCCTCACTGACTGTCCTCTGGCAGTCAGTTAGGTCCCATATAGACATTATCATTTAATTCTCACCGTGGGCTTTTAAGGCCAATAGTATTATTATCTCCCTTTTATATTACCAAGGAGCCCAGAGAGGGACCATAATCTACCCAGGGTCACACAGCTATTGAGTCAGACTGATACAGCCAGGAGAAGAAAGCCAAAAGGAAGGCATCTCAGCCATGGACTTGAAGGAGACAGTGACTTGATATCATCCAGGGCAGGGTCTGCACCTAGAAGGAGGAACTGTGATGTCTAGGTGTTCCCTGGCCTGAGCAGCAAAGCTCGGATTTGGCTCCAGGTTTGTGTAAAGGCAAGCCCTGGGTTTTCTCACGGTGTCCTAAGTCACTCTGAGGCAGGACCAGACTTACAGTATTAAGGAAGGTAAGCTCTGAGGTTTCAGGCCTCAGAGGGAGGAGGAAGGGACCACCCTTGCCCCCAAGATGTCAACAATCCTCTAAACACTGAGTCCCTAACCCAGGGTGGAAATGTGTGGCTGAGGCCACCACCAGGAGTAAGTGCCAGTCAGACACCTGGTGGTCAAGTTTTGCTGCTGACTTTGGAGACCCAACCTTGGCCTTGCCTAGGGATTCATAGCTTTTTTTAAACCCACTTTGCCTTTGTCCCAGACATCTATGAGGCAGGGGTCCTTGCCTTCATTTTTTCCCCTCAGTAGCGGAAGGTGAGGCTCCTACAGGTGAGCGGAGATTCGCTCAGGTCACACAGCCAGGACTTCCAGGGCTAGAGCCAGTGTGTGGCTCCTAGCTCAGGGCTCTTGCCAGCCCACCTCACTGCCAAGAACTGAGCTGAGAGCTGGAGGGAGCTGGTTGGAGTTTGGATTGCTGGAAGCGCAGGAGAAATATGAAGGCAGGCCTCGGAGGTGGGGGAAAGGAGTCAGGAACAAACAACTTCCGAAATGTAATAATTTGGCTAAATTTAAACATGTGAAAGAGTTCAGAATGATTCATAATGCATGCAGATTGATGCAAATGACTATGCAAATGATGCAGGCAGGAATGAGCAGGGTGCAACAACCTACCTCTCCGCAGTAAGCGGGATGGAGCGGGACAAGGACTTCAGTTGAAGTTTTCCAAGCCCACCCCATCCTGGAGTGGAAATGAGACCTCTTCATGCAACCTGACCCAGCCCCAGAAATCCTCTTTCAAGGCCGATATTATCATGACCTCCCTTTTTTACTTACTGCCAAGAAACTGGGGCACAGAGAGGGAAGCCAGTCTGTCCATGCTCACACAGCTATTGGGCAAGCAGGGACAGACCTGGGGCCTTGGGAACATTCCCATGCCGAGACTGCCCTTCTCTGGAAGCCACATGTACCCACTCCCCCGTCTTCTGTTCACGCTTCTCTTAGCTGAATAATTCTGCTCCCTCTCACCTTCCACCAATGAGCTCCCCTTCGGGGGTGTCCTCAAGCCTTTGTCTCTCTTTCTCTCTCTTTTTGAGACAGGACCTCATGTAGCCTGGGTTCGCCTGAAACTCCCTATGTAGCTGAGAATGACCTTGAACTTCCCATCCTCCTGCCTCCACCTTCCAAGAGCTGGAATTACCGATAGGTGCCACTATGTCTGACTTTAGGCAATGCTGGGGATCAATTCCAGGGCGCATGTGTGCTAGACAAGCCTGACTACATCCCCAGCCTACTCCTCTTATCCATTTCTCCCTCCCCATCTCCCCAATCCAGGTTGTGTGGTGTGTGTGTGTGCGCGCGCACATGTGCATACACTCATGTGCAGAGATCAAAGGAGAACACTGAGTGTCCTTCTCTTAAGACAGGGTCCCTTACTGAGCCTAGAACTATGGGGGCAGCAAAAAAGCCCCAGGGATCTCCGATCTATCTCCACCCTGCACAGTGCTGGGGTTACAGGTGTGAATTCGAACTCGTGTCCTCAGGATTGCATAGCAAGTTCTCTTATCTGCTACGCCATCTTCTCGGCTCTCCCTCGTCCGTTTCCCTCGTCCGTTTATAATGTATCAAGAATGTCTGGCTGACAGTCAGAAGGAACTGACATGTACAAGGGTCTTCTTGGGCCCCTCCTGGTTAATATTCATATGCCTCCCAGCAGGACACATGGGAGAGGAAGTGGCCCTGTAGGAGAGGAAATGGTCCTCTTTCCACCACTGGCCAGCTGTGCGGCCTCAGGTGGGTTCTTCTCTCTGAGCCCCTTCTTTCAAATGAGATGAATCACATCTACCGTGAGCCAGCACGCCTTTCAGCAGGCACCCTGGAGCACGCTCCCTTCCTCCTCCAGACCTACAACCTCCCCTTCCCCACACTAGCCACCTGCTGCCATTGGACAGCAGACAGGCTCCCTTCCTCGTCACTTCTGACCACACAAGCCCTGACTTATACCTTCTGTCTTGCCTGAGAGTCGCCCCCCCATCTGTCACCCCCACACAAAGCCAACTTCAGAGCTCCAGTTCACCCCGGTACCTCCCCCTCTGTCAGTCCTCTGGCGCTCCTGGCTCTGGGACTCGGATGGTGCATACTCTTTGTGGGAATTGACAGCACCCATGCATCTCCATCACATTGTCTCTTTGAACAGCCATGTTGGTTTGAAGAATAGGAGGCTGTCCTTTTACTGGGGAAGAGGCTGGGCCTCCAATGGGGCACCCCAACTTTGGTCTCTTGGAGCCTCACAGCTGCCTCCATAAGAGAGCCACCCTTACGGTGAGGTCTCCCTTAGTATAACTGTGTGCATTTCCCAGTTTCTTCATAAGCTCTTGCAGAGCCTGGAACCCATCTCGGGTCTTCTCTCGTGCATGAAGCCTCATGCCATTCCCAAGTATTTAATAAACTCAAGCAGGTGCCTGAGTAGCCAACTGGACCATGCATGCCAGAATCCATTTGCATTCCATGGAGAACCCAGGTTCTTGTCTGTTACATTAGAAAACAGCCCATCTCCAGGATTGTCCCTGCAGAAAGGACCTGGACTACACCTTGGGAGAGACTTGGGGGTCGGGGTCTCCACATGTTGAGAACATGGGCTGTTTACAGAAGCCATTGTATATGTGGACAACACTGTCTTCCATCTCTTGCTGTCCTTTTCATACAGGACCTTCCACCTCAACACACAGGGACATGAGAACCCTCCCTGAGCCCCTGGCAACCATTCTCCAGGGAGGTGTTGGTTAGCGTTTGTCAGCTGGTAGGCTGGCTGTCTTCAAGACATGCCGTTCCTCTGCCACAGTTCATGAATTGAGTTTTTCCTCATCCTCGACTGACTTCATCTCCGCCATCTCAGAGACGGTGGATCTAATCCCACATCCCCGCGCTCGGTTTCCATTTTCATGGTGATCAGTTGTTTGTGGTCCGTACAGATTGCTCCAGGAGTTACGGCTGGGATGGGATAAGCAGTCTGGGCTCATATGCACGCTCTGCTCGGATGATGCTCCTTGTTTCTGAGCCCCCCGAGGAGAGACTTTCAAACTTTGTACCAAGCCAGTTAGTGCTAACTACTACCACCATTCACATCCATTAGCATCCAACGCTGGCTGAGTGCCTATTGTGTACCAGCCCTGAGGATTTCAAGGCTGGATTCCTTCATCATCCATAACACTTGTGGGATAAGAGATAGGGTCTTCCATTTTTTTTCCAGTCATATATAAGGAACAGGGAGGCTGTGTGTCTAGGGTCACACGAGTCTTTTGATTCTGGGCTAAGAAATCCCATCTTGAGTGGGATTGAAGTGCTCAACCCTTTCCCAAACGCGGCTCCCTCCCTATCTCACTCTCTAGAACATCTGACTAATCCCTCACCTTCCTAGCTCTGTGACTGAGTAACTCCAGTCTCCCCCGCCACCCCACCCCCTGCCCCCGACCCCTGACTGACCACTTTCTTCTCCCAGCAGCGGGGAGCGATCTCCCCCCTGGTTGAACTCATGGGGCTGTGTGGACAGGAACTCTCAGACATGATGGGGAGGTGCGTGGACCCCTGAAAACCCGCAGGTTGACAGGGGGCAGGGGATCAGTCTCCTGCCACAGTGGGACCCACCATGTTCTGGCCCTGTTGCAGCATCTCGGGCTATGGAGCAGCTGGTGGGAAAGGTGGGAAGAACACCATGATGCGGTCTCACGGTGTGTCTGTCCTGGGCATCTTCAACCTGGAGAAAGATGAGATGCTGTACATCCTTGTCGGCCAGCAAGGGGAGGATGCCTGTCCCAGGGTAAGTGCTCAGAGCAGGGGCGTGTTCCAGCCCCGGGGGGGGGAGGGGGGGGGATGAGGGTGGATTCTTGGAGGACAGTAACCCCCAGTGATCCTTCTGGGGATTCAAAGACTTGCACCAGCTCCACTGGTGAATTCCCCTCTTTTCCTAGGGCCATTTGGTGCTTGAGGACACAGGGACTGTGGGCCTATTGGAGTTTTATAACCCCATGGGAGGAGCCACAGTTCAAGCTTGGGATTCATGAGTGACTTGAAGCCAAAGGTCTGAATCCTACCTAAGTTCTGTGGATGTTCTCCACAGAAGTAGGAGAAGGAGCCCCCTCTGAGGACTCTGGCTGATGCACTGTTCTATTTAATCATGTTATCATGCATAGTGAAAAAAAAATGAAAAGACTTTACATTCACTCAAAAATCAGACATATGACCACTTGTAGGTGTACATAAAAGTGCCCAAAAATGTTCTAAAAAAAAAAAAATACAGCTTCAGTAGCTACACTTCTTGGGAGGAGACTGAATTGGGGGTGCCTGGCAAATAATGTCTGAAATTGTCGCAAAAAGAATGTTCTCAGGTCTGGGATGTAGTTCAGTTTGGTAGAGTGTTTGCCTAGCTTAGCAATTGGTTGTTGTTCTCCTGAGCGTGGTGGAGCACACCTGAAATCCCAGCATCTGGGAGATGGAAAAAGAAGAAGAAACAGAAATCCAAGGTCATCTTTGGCTGTGAATGGTGTTTGAAGTCAGCCTGCAGTATAGGGACACAGGAACCCCTAACTCAAAAAAAAAAAAAAAAAGTAAAAGAAAGAATGCCTTCATATATTATTTAATGATTAAAACTAAAAAATTTAAAGCATAGACAAACTGAGCCAGAATACTGGTAGCCCATTTCTCATCAGTTAATTTTATGTTCTGACAAACTACGGGCCAGAAACAGGAAGGGAAGAGAACACTCATTTTGACTCATGGTTTCAAAGGGTCTCAGTCCATCATCATGGAGAAGGCAGGGAGGACCTCATAGCAGCAGGTCTGAAAACAGAGAGAGAGGCAAGAACCAGGGACAAGTAAACCCTTCAAGGCCCATCATCCCTAATGACCTGCTTCCCACCCCTGAAACACTCCACACCCTCCCAAAACAGCATCAGTTGGGAAACAAACATCCAGACCATATAAGCCTGTGGGGGACGTTTCGGGATTAAACTTTACACTCCCATATTATAAATGAGGAAAGGAGGGACCACAGAGGTGAAGGGACTTGCCCAATGTCACTCGCAAAGTGGCCCAGAACTCTAGAGCATTTGGTTTGGCTGCACCCTACACTTGTCTTGTTTCCAGGATCTTCTTCCCATTATCCCCTTAGCTAGCCCATCACTGGGCGAGCCTCTGTGGTCACAAAGACAGCCTGGCATTGTGTTTCTGACCCCACTGGGGTGTCTAGCAAGTCCAACAGCAGGAGCCGAGATTGCCCAGAGCCGTCAAAAGTGATCCACAGAACAGGACAGTGAGGCTAACTAGATAGCAGCTGTGGGAGCCTCAGACAGCCCCAGTTATCTGGCTCTTGCCTTGGGGGTGTTAGCAGGGTGGCAGGACCCTGGCAGTGCTGGCTAGGCTAGCAGGAACTGAGGTGGCCCAGGAGGGCAGATTATCCTGCTTGAGTCAGGCCAAAGCCTCCCCTGAAGCACAGCTTTGCTGGATCCCAGTGCCTGGCACAACACCCTTCTCCAAGAGTTGTCCCAGCAGCCTGGGAGGAGCAGGGGCTACCAAGAAAACAGTTCAGTTCCACAAAGAAACTCAGCTCCAAAGAGCCAAGTGATGGGCTGTGAGTTCAGGGGGCAGCAAGCGAGGGCAGCTTAGTCTCCTGGTACCCCGACTCCTCCAGGCGTTAACACAACACCAGAGGCCTGAGCCTGGTGGGTACAACCTCCTGCCTGAGAAATGCCTCCAACTCCAACTTTTATTTAGGAACTATAATCAGGATTTTGCAGGCTGTTATAATATATTAAGTCATTAAATTACAGGCTGCTGTAATTTTCACAGGAATTTATTGAGTGCTAATGTAATTCTTTCATCTAAGCAGAAAGATTGCATTGACTTCTGCAAGGGACTTTCACTTGATTGGATTGTAATCAGTTATGTCTTTTCACAGGACTATGTCCTTTTTATTTTTTTAATTCAATTGTAATCTACTTGTTCCTCTAGGTTGCTGCACTTTATCATTCTTATTAATCAACGTACTTGTTCTCAAACTTTGTGGATGCATAGGGAGCAGTTCCCAAGAGGGCAGGAGAAGGCCACCTCAGCCGCGAGCAGGGGGAAGCGCCCTCTGCTGGTCGGGCCAAGCATGCCAGGCACACTTGGGCATGGGAAGAAAGCCACTCCGCACTCTCCCTATGGGTTTTTAGGAGAGAAGGACGTGCTGTCTTCAGGCATTATCTCCATCTCCAGTTTTCACTAGAAAAAAAAAGGAGAATGAAGTGAGCTCTAAGAACTGAGCAGCAGTTTAGCTGATTTAACTGCATGTCTGTGGGAGGCTTTCTACCTGGCGTTTGGCCATCCTAAGCTCCTGGTACAGGAAGTCGGCCCCAGCTGCTGCTGGAAAATGACCCTGTATACACAAACACACACACACACACACACACACACACACAGAGAGAGAGAGAGAGACAGAGAGAGACAGAGAGAGACAGAGACAGAGACACAGAGACACAGAGACAGACACGGCTTATTTCCTACAAGACTCTGCCTCATAGCATGGCTTCCTCCACAAAAGCAGTGTATGATGTTTAACAGCAACCTCAATCTCCTCCAGCACTTGCCGCCGGCAGTATGCCCAGCCACAACCATCAAAAAACACCTCCCGAAAATCCCAGCCGCTCCCTAGATGATCAAGTCACTGACCTTAACTGCCAAGCCCTGTCCTTTTAACCACCAAACACCAGGAAAGCCAGTGCATGAGCCAGACCGTCCTCTGTCTGTCCAAACTGACGCCACAAACACGCCTTGAGTCCCTGTGTGCGCCATCCACCATTCTAGGAAACTGGGACATTCCTTGAACAAGGGAGATCCTTACACACGAGGCACTTCCCTTCTAGCAAGGGGAGAAGGAGTTGGCCACGGCCCAGTCCCTGAAGTGAGAGTGTCTCTGTACACCTGAGGGGAGGAGCAAAGTGGGTAGCTGAGAGATAAGGGCAAAGGAAATGGTCTGGGCCAGGTCGCTGAAATGACACATTCCCACATCCTCAAAGCCAAATGGTGATATAACGGAATATGCTTCCAAAGTCTCGCTGTAGCTGCACCATGAAGCTTGGATCTCACGGGGTCAAGGAGCCAAGCACCAGATTCAAAGGCTACTGCCTTCAGCCAGCAAGAGATGCTGTGCCAGGGTGGCTTGGACCCCAGTGGTCAAAGTGGAGGTGGTGGAAAGCGACCGGGAGCCTGGGCGTGTTTGGAATGGGAAATTCACAAGGGCTTCCTGCCTGATAAGATGAGGAACCGAGAGAAAGAAAGGCCGAGAGGGACTCCACGGACCGAACAGTTGCCGTCGTCCGTCACCTGCCAGAGAATGCTGCAAAGCGGGGCAGCTTAGGCTGGGTTCATGCCTGCCATCCCAACAAGTTGTGAGGTCAGCCTGAGCTATGTGGTGAGTTCCAGGCTAGCCTCAATTACAAGTGAGATTGCCCAAACAAAACAACAAAAAACACAATAACAAAAAAACACCACCACCACAAAAAAAAAAAAAAAAAAAAAAACAGACTTTGTGGTGAGGTCAAGAGTTCAAGGTCAAGCACACTGACTATGGTGATCTAGTAGACAACGGGGAATGGCAGGTGGGTAACACTGATAGACCGCTGGGATTTAGAAGAGTGGTCCAGGGAGGAAGATATAAACCAGCATAAAGCTCCAACGGACTGAGATTGCCTATGGTGTGATGCAGATAGCAAAGAGGAACCAAGGATGAGCCCTGGGTCCCCAGCATTTAGAGATTAGAAGGAAAAAGAAGAGAGACTAACAAGGAGCCAGGGAGGTAGGAGGGACTTGGGGCAGGGGGAGTCCTAGGAATCGGGTGACGTGCACTGTCTCCACCCAAGGCTGCTGCTAAGTCAGAGAGATGCTAGCCTGAGAATGGATATGTCTTAGATATCTTCTGCCCGGGGCAGAAGAACTACATGGAGCAGGGACATGGAAGACAGGCCATCCTTAGGCTCCACTCCTCATGTCCCGACACTGTATCCAAAGTCTCCAGAATCAGTTCTCTCAGAAAGAGACATCCCCAGGATGTGGAGGTCACACTGCTGACTGCCGGAGGAGAGAAAGAGCGGCAGACAGGTCTGCACATCACCATAGGATGTGTGATGTCACTGTTCCCATCCCATACCTGAAGTGGGTCTTTTCGGCTCTGCCAGTTCACACTAGACAGCCCTTTCCTTTATAGACGGAGGCAAGTCCAGGACCCTGAGCGCCTCATGAAAGTACTGCTCAACCAGCAGCCCCCCCAGCCTTTCCCCCTCCCTCTGGACTCAGGACATGCCCCTTGCCACCCACTCCTGTCCCAGCAGTCTCCCTACAGGCCTGGGCATCGCTGCATAGACATGGGAGAAATGCTGAGCTCTCCCCCAGCAGTCTAGAACTTTCCATGCACACTAAATCCCCTCTAAGAAATGTCAAATTATTTCCATCATTAAATCCAAAATGCTATAAAACGAATTGCATCTCGTCTGTTTATCTGGAAATTTCTCAAGTACTCACTGCCGGCGCTCCTCAATACTTTAGCATAAGGAATGACTCAAGATGGATTGCCGTGTCCACCGCCTGGTTATGCAGAGGCGTTTGATGAAAATTTGATGTTTTATTGGCTTTTATTCCATTAAGTGAAAGAAAAGTCATTTTCCTCTGAGGTCAAGCTGGTGTTTAGAGAATTCATCTGAGCTGCTGTGGCCAAGGCAGGTATGACTGTTCTTCAGCGGTAGGCTCTGCCTCTCAGGACTCCAGGGCTGTTTTATTTTTGGGTTTTTGTTGTTGTTGGTTTTTTTTAAGTGTTACAGACATCCCGGCACAGTCCCAGCAATTCCAACATCCCATCAGGAGCCTGTGGGGCCCAGAAGTAAATTTAATGGACTACTAACTCAACCGCCTACCCATCCTTCACAAGTGTGGCACCCAAGGGTAACGGCTCACCTGCACATCACCATAGGATGTGTGATGTCACTGTTCCCATCCCGTACCTGAAGACCACTGAGTCACCCAAAGTGGTGATGAGTGTAGCTGGCAGATTCCAAGGTCCACTCCCTCGTCTACGTGGCAGCCAGGGGACTCCACTCTCTTCCTGGGGCTACGTGCTGGAGATTTCTAGAAATAAGAAATGGGATGTTGGGCGACAAGAATGAGATGTCGAAGATGGAGAAATGACTTTTTCCCAAAGGGGAGCTGAGAGTGAAAACTCCACTGTTGGGTTTTACTTGTTCTGTATTTGTTTTGAATTCTCTGCATAGTGCTCCAGAACTGAAGAGAGAGAAAGCGCGCTCATTGACTCTCCACTCCCAGATCCAACTCTGATCACCATCAAGGCCCCTTGCCGTGACCTGACTGCTCATCTAACGCCTGTAGTCGCCCCAATTTATATGCCCTCTAGCCTGTCTCACATCCCGGGGTCTTGTCTTCCTCGGCAGCCACTGGATCCTACCCGGTCCCTCCGGACTGAGCTAGACTTTTCTAAGCAAGAGAGCCTGAAGTCTTTCTCCGCACCCCCACTTGCCTCCTCCCCTGTGGGGTCATGCTACTCTCTGCTCTTGGAATGACACGAATTGTCCTTCTCTGTGCTGAAACCCTCCTCCTTATACTCCAGAGCCCAACGAGGAGCCATCTCCTGCAGACAGTCCTCTAGCTGAAATCCATCCCCTAGCTTCTCATAACATTAGTCTCCAAGCTGCCCTTGGGGCCCTTTCCTAACACTGCGCAAAGTGATCATTGCGAGTATTTATTTTTGTCTCCTCAGTTCAGTCACAGGCTATTTGACACGTGATCAGAGCCTACCTTAAGCATACAAGATACCAGGTCCCCGACTCGGGCACCAAACCCAATGAGGTGGTTTGTTTGGTTTGTGCAGGCGAACCAACTGATCCAGAAAGTCTGTGTCGGCGAGAACAACGTGATAGAAGAAGAGATCCGAGTGAACAGAAGCGTACACGAGTGGGCAGGAGGAGGAGGAGGTGGGGGTGGAGCCACCTACGTGTTTAAGGTGAGGTCTTCCCCGGAAGATGGAGCAATGGCTTCTGCCCGCCATGGTGTTTTAGCCCCAGAACAAATCTAGATAGAACCCCCTGGGATGTTCTATGTCGAGGTAATGACAAGAAACCATGGCCCAGGGGGAGTTCAGGTTTGTCTACCCAAGAAAGGGTATCCCGGTACACTACACTCCTCCTTTGCATTCAGGGCTCCTTGTCCACCCGGGCCAGGCTGACTTTTCTGACATTGTCAAAGCCAGGCTACAGATGGGAAGCAGAGTTTCTTGCAGGGTGCTCCCCTTGGAGACAGTGATGCTAAGGGCTTATGCTTGAACTTGTGGAGGTCCAAGAGATGACAGAGTACAGAAAGATAAAGCAAGACCTGCCACTAATCACCAGCAACAAGACCTCCAAGGAGCTTCAGGGAAGGGGTCCATCCCAGCTCATTGTAACCTTGGGTACCCTAGTGGGCTTGCATCACTGACTGAACCCCACCTGATACAGAAACTCAGAGAGGGTTACTAGAACATCAATTTGGGGCCCTCAAACCCCCACAGGTGGAGAAGTCACCCCCACTGCCCTGCAAGTTGTTAAATTGAAACATTTAAACTGGGGCATAGGATCTCCCTAAGGGATGCCTAGCTCAGTCTCTCCATCTCTGAATGTCTCCCCTGAGCAGATGAAAGACGGAGTGCCCGTGCCCCTGATCATTGCAGCCGGCGGTGGCGGCAGGGCGTATGGGGCCAAGACAGACACGTTCCACCCAGAGAGACTGGAGAATAACTCCTCAGTTCTAGGGCTGAACGGCAATTCCGGAGCCGCAGGTAAAGCCCCACCCTCTCCCAGAAATCTCCCAGGGACCCTGAAGGCGCCGTCCACTCCACTGAGTGATGGGAGCGTTTCCCATTGATGCCAATATCAAGGGAAACGGAGCAGGCATCCCCCTGCTGCCTCTGAAGCCATCTTGCTGGCTTGAGGCTTGATGATTAACCCTCTGAAGGCCCAGGGCCCCAACCCCGAGGGTGCCCAGCAGTTGGCCACAGAGACGATGGGCGGCAGGTCTCCTTAAGATGGAAACAGTTAGTGAAAGCGCACCTTCAGGTGGTATCAGCCATACAGTAAGAAGTTCCGCCATCATTCTGCCTGTCCCCAGTGCCCCCCAAATACCTACCGCAGTACACTGCCTACTGCTGACCTAGAGGGGCCTGCCAGGAAGCGGGGCACCAAGCTCAACAACTGTAGGCACATGGTGTGGCCTCAGAGGTATCCCTAGCGCCAAGGGCATGATGATACTCCTAGCTTCCACCATGAACAGGGCCCTGGAACAGGATAAATGGGCGTTCCCTCCTCGGCCCCCACCCCCGTCCCCCTATCCCCCCCGCCAGGGCCCACCACATCCTCTTTCCAGCTTCTCCAGCTCCATCCTCCTTCCAATCCCACCACCCGCTCCTCCAGAGAAGCGTCTGCTTTCTTCCCCGCAGGTGGTGGAGGCGGCTGGAATGATAACACTTCCTTGCTCTGGGCCGGAAAGTCTTTGCTGGAGGGTGCCGCTGGAGGACATTCCTGCCCCCAGGCCATGAAGAAGTGGGGGTGGGAGACAAGAGGGGGTTTCGGAGGGGGTGGAGGGGGGTGCTCCTCAGGTGGAGGAGGCGGAGGATATATAGGTAAAGATGATTCGTGTTCTAGGTGTCACACTTTCCCCCCTCTTAGTCCTAGGCTCCTCCCTCCCCGTCACCGCCCCGCCCCCGCCCCCGCCCCGCCCCAGTGTGGACTGTGATGTGACTGCATGCTCCCCTCCCCTCTGCTTGGCTTGGGCCCGCCAGAGGTGGGGTGTTGGCTTCTGAGCCAGCATCCCGCCTCCAGGCTTGTGTAGCAAAGCAGCATCAAGATCCCACGTGATCCCGGATCCCGCGCCCCTTCAAAGCTGAACCTAAAATGTGTTTGGCTTTCCAGGAGGTGGCATAAGCCACCAAAGGTCCAGGCAGCCCTGAAGTCCAGACTCTTCTAGCCCCTACAGCTCCTTTTGGGGGCCTGGCCAAGCCAGCATAGAAGAGACTGATCTGCAGTCTCTTGGGCTCCTGGCTTTCCTGTCCCGGCGGGTGGGAATTACTCCCAGAAGCCACCTCAACCAGTCCTGCAGCAAACAGCCTGTTGTTGATTCCCCCCCACCCCACTTTCTTGGGAAGAGTTTGCAGCTAAGAGACTGGCAGATGATACCCCCCCCCCCGTCCCCCAGATTAGGACATACTGCATGCCAGCACTGTGATGTTCGTATCTGTGTGTTCGCTTTGTTGCTGTGTGGAAAATGCTTGTGCTAACCACACAAGCTTCCTTTTCAAGCTTTGGGTGGATGGGAGGACCCCGGGGCGGGGGGGAGGGGAGCCCCAAGATCATCCAGCCCCAGATAAAAGGAGGGACAGGAGACTGAAGGCACAGCGGTTCATCTCCCCCAGGCCCCCAGCATGATCCCAAAGTGTCCGGAGAGTAACCTCCTTCAAGCCACAAGGGTGCACCCTTAGCCTCCAGAGACTAGAACCTTCTAGACTCTTGCTCACTTGAGCTACTTAGGGGGTCTCAGCATGTGGTAGAGATTCCCCTGGATGGTCTGGCCCCAACCTGGAGGGGAAATTGACCCATTCACCCAGCACCTGCAGAGCTAAACCAAAGTATATCCTCTGTGCCTGGAACCTCCTTTCCCTCCCCGCCTCCCTACCCCATAGCCGCCCCCCTCCCCCCAGTGACCCATAGCCTTGGCCAGAACTGCATGCCTGTTGATGTGCATGTGTGTTGAGTCTTGGGCACCCACCTTTTGGGGTTCAACGCTTCTCTGGTTTACCACAGGGGGCAACGCAGCATCAAACAATGACCCCGAAATGGATGGGGAAGATGGGGTTTCCTTCATCAGTCCATTGGGTATCCTGTACACCCCGGCCTTAAAAGGTACCCCCTCTACCAGGTGATAATACAGACTTAAGTCCCTTCTTCCGCCCAAGCCCAAACCTGGACTTTATTGACATGGGGTCAGGACACCAAGGCGTGGCTATGGGCCACTTTATGACACAAGTCTTCCCATAGCTCATCTCATCATATTTTGTGGAAGTTGGGGTGTGCAGTGGACTGTAGCTGAAGTTTTCTCTGGTCCTACCCAGTTCCACAGACCCTGCAACCGCTTAGACCCAAATGAACACACAGAGGCTTATATTAATTATGAACCCTATGGCCTATTGGCTCAGGCTTCTCGCTAGCTAGATCTTACATCTTAAATTAACCCATTTCTATAAATCTATACTTTGCCACGTGGCCTACCGGTATCTTTACATCTTGCTTCTCATGGCGGCGGCTGGCAGCGTCTCCTGACTCAGCCTTCCACCTCCCAGAATTACCCTTGTCTGCTTACCTACTGGCCAATCAGCATTTTAGTTATCAACCAATCAGAGCAACATATTTTCACAGCATACAGAAAGGCCTTCCCATCAATGGACCACCAGGCAGGCAGATCCTAGAAAATGATAACAAGGGCGGCTAGAACATCTGTACCAGCATCAGGATCCTGACTACAAGTCTCTCACTTACACCCAAACACATCCTCACTCTCAGCTCTGCTCACCGGGGGCCCAAAGATGCTTCCCCAAACAGAGATGTGTTTGAAGCGACAGAGGGATTTGGGACAAGGACCATAGGAAGCCATGGCAAGCAGCCAGAAATAAAGTTCAAAGTCGGGACCTAAGGGTACAGGGCAATCGACTTTCATGTTCATCCTGAGACTGACCCCTCCCCCCTTGTCACCAGTGATGGAGGGCCATGGGGAAGTGAATATCAAGCATTATCTAAACTGCAGTCACTGTGAGGTAGACGAATGCCACATGGACCCCGAGAGCCACAAAGTCATCTGTTTCTGTGAACACGGGACCGTGCTGGCTGAGGATGGTGTCTCCTGCATTGGTAAGGGGCAGCGATGGGAGGGGGGAACAGGGCCAAAGCTTGAGCCAACTGAACAAGCCCAGCTCTTTTCTATATGTCCCGTCCCTCTCTTGCGCATGTTCTGGCAACTGAGCAAAGAGACCTTGTACAAAAGGTGGGTCACCACACCTCAAGGGGTCTCCGAATCGCCAATGCCTTTCCCTC